TTAAAAATGGTGGTTAAGAATTAAAGGTTAAAAAAAAGGGGGGGGGGGAGATCAGCTTTCAATCTGAAAATTTTCATCACAGATGACAGTTCCTGATAGTTTAATTCCATAAATTTATCTAAATAATGTTGAGAACATAAATGTATTATGATCTCTGAAGCCCAGAAAAGTAGCTAATGCATAGTTAAGATTGAATTTAATTCTGTAATTATCATATAAGGTGTTGACTCTATTCTTGAATCTACTTGTGTTATAGCTAGGAAGTGTGAACAAAACAAATCTGTAACAAAGTGTTATTGCTCTTGAACTAATCTTTTTGTGAGGTTCTGGACTAGTTTTAAATCAGAGTGGTGGTTCTAGTGGTCTGAAATATATTTAGAATGTCTAAAACCACATATTCAAACTCAGGGTGGTCTTAGCCCTTTGCCTTTCATAGGGAGACAAATGGAGTGCTGTGGAGTCTATTTTACGGCCTGGCCTGAAAGATGCAAAGACTAACAACCCATCCGAGCAATGTAGATATTGTATCCAGTGATTCTTCTCAAAAGAGAAGAGGCTTGCTTTGCCCTAGCATCTTTCTGTCAAAACTTCCTCCCTTCCCACTATGGTCTAGATTATGGCTGCCCTCCACCCTAGAGATGACTGCTCCTCAGTGGTTCTGTATACTTTGTAAAGTGCTCTAGGAATCATCAGGATGAAAGGAACTATTTGCACTTTAAAATGCTATCAGTTACCTTCTCTTTTTTTGTTAGTGGGAAGCCCCAGAACATGCCAAAGTAAGTGGTATTGGCAGCAGACCTAGCCCTACTCACTGCTTCTAGTTAGGTTAGGAAGGCTTCAGAACTTTACTTTACTTGAGGTGGGGAGAGTGCATGCTAGTAGGAGAGGACTAGGTCTCAACACTATAGTTACGTATGTGCAGGCCACATCTATGCTACAAAGTTCAGTCAAGATAAGTTACATCAGCATACGGCTGCCGATGTTTGAATATCGCTTGGGCACTGTGCATGCTCATCATGAGTGTCTGCATAGGTGGAAAAAGTGGTGCACTCATGGGTAGGCAGTCTGTGCCCCATTCCACTTCTAGTGCAGTGCCTAGTGGGACGTTTGACAGTGATTTGTGGGATACCAGCAATTTGCCCAAGGATTTCTGAGAACTATACTTTCACCATACCAAGTCTGATCAAGATTGCACAAGAGGATAAAAATGACATCTCCATTCTGATAAACAATGCAGTCTGCATGATTCTGCCTGCTTCGTCCACCATGCCAAAAAATGGAAAAGCAGACACTCCCTCTACCTCTGCCCCTATCCAAGCTCAGGACGCTGATGTGATGGAGATTGTGTAATTTGGACTGACATACTATTTTTTGAATTTATTTGCTAACATTGTGCAAGTATTGTGAGCAATCAAAAATCAATGTCTTTGTTCTCTTAACTCGTGGGTGGGATGGGAGCCATTTTTTTTAAATGGGGGGGGAAGGGAGAGAAAGGAGGCTTTGGGCAACAAAAAGGTAAGATGCTTATAAGGAATAATGCAAGTACACACTTACCCACGCTCCCTTCCCCTTCATCAGTGGGCTCATTTGTGCTCACCTAGCAGGAATCGTTTGACTGCAGTGGAGTTTGAAACAGCTTCTGACTCGCTGCATGGTCTGCGTCTGCCCCTGAGAGAGAGGGTTCCTCCTCCCTGCTGTGCACTGCAGGGATCTTGGCATGAGGCTCCTGCAAAGTGTCCACAGTAGACTGCAGGGTGCTGTCCACATCAAGTATTGCTTGCAGTTTGTTGTAGAAACAACAGATCCCTGGGGGTGGCTCCAGGTTTGTTATTGGCCTCACTCACCTTGTCATATGCCTGCTGAAGTTCCTTCATTTTTACACAGTACTGTTGCTCATCTTTGTCATGCCCAGTTTCAGCATCCTCTGTGCAATCTGCACATAGATGTCTATATTTCTTCGGCTATTCCATAGCTGTGCTTGTACAATTTCTTCTCCCCACAGCCCGAGGAGCGCTGACTTCTTTCCTGCTCCATGCAGGAATGCATCTTGTAACTCACTATGCACGGAGTTGGCAAGGTCGGATGCTCACAGAGGTGGGCTATTATATGTGCTTGCCAAGATGGGCAGGAAAAAGCATTTTTAAAGCACACTGAGGCTTTCAAAGTCTTGACCTCCACTGCCCAGGGGTCAGAAATAGTGACCAGAGCAACCACTGTTGTGTGGTCAGGGGCATTATGGGTTAGCTTCTTGGAGGACTGTTAGAGTCAACACAGTAATGCGGAATCAACACTTGCACCGTGTCAGTGCAAGTAGGTGAGTTGTGCCTCTGCATCATTCTAGGAGGTGGTGTTCTTCCATCGCTGTAACCGGGTGCTGACATCAGCAGAAGACAAATTTAGGTGCAAACACATGCAGAACTAGATCGAAACAAGTTGACTTGGTTGACCTAACTTTGTAGTGTAGACCAGGCCTAAATGATGTAGTATGCAAATACCTGAATGTTGTGCTATCCAAAATGGAACTATTGAAGGGCCATTTGTCAGTAACCATAACAAATCTCTTACATGAGGACTTGAAAAACTCACTGACCCTTGGCAAGTAGGAAGCTTTCCTTAGTGATAAAAGGAAACTAAGCCATACTTTTCGGCAGGGCTTGAACTTGAATTTTTTTAAATTTCTTACAAATGCTATTGCATTATTGCCTTCCTGAGATTGTTGCTTGGGCTCATGCTCACAGGCTTCTTAAGCAGCAGAAGAGTTAAATTGACAAGACACTGGTTAGTTGCACTACCCGCTTGAAAGCAGTAAATCCAGAAGACTGGTGCCTTCAGAAAGCTGTGAGCAGCAACCAAGCACTAGACTAGTTTCTCCTGGGTACTACTCTGTTCTCTTCCTCACTTCCCAGACTTTCGAACTGACCCCTGGCCAGTAGTTATCCTAGTAGCTGTTGGCTGTGCCCCCTCACCTCACCCCAAGCCCAGCATCTCAAAATGCTGGGTAATATGGCATTATGTCCTCAGTAGTGCAATGAAAATAAAGTATTTGTTTCTATAACACAAATGAGCTTGTATCAAATCTTGTGTTATTACACAGGCATCATGTGATCTTTATAACAGGGAAAACTAAGGGTGAGAGTTTACAACCCAAAAGATAGGAAATGCTTAGTTAAATACAAACTAATCACCCTTAAAGTATTTGTAGCAGTAAGAATGTTCTTATATTTAAAGGGTGGGGGGGAAGTGACTCACTCCAAAGCCATTCCCCATTCTATCAATTACACTATTATTTTAAGGCAGCAGGCTTTGTGGGATGCTGGTGTTAAGAGTTATAGTTCTTACTTAAAAAGAAGAACAGGAGTACTTGTGGCACCTTAGAGACTAACAAATTTATTAGAGCATAAGCTTTCG